ACTTAACCAGAAGTGGAATTGAAGATCTTTGTATCTTCGATAAAGAGGTCCTGTAAAATCAGTGTTCTTGATTTGAATGTTAGACTAAGCAGCTTGAATCACCAGGCTCTTGCTTCCTGGCTCTAATGAATATTCCAGTCATTAGGCATTACTCCAATATTCATAGCTGTAAAATCTATCAACTGGACCATGATTTCTTTGTGAATATGTGGATTAACACACAAATCCTAAGTAAGATTTCTTCAGTCAGATGATGAAAAATTCTTTCTTGAGGCCTGCATTGTATACCTTAATCATTCATAGAAAATCTTTACTATTTGTATACCCAATTGTGGTCTGAAACATTGACTTAGCACGGTTAGAACATTTACTTAAATCCCAATTCTAACAAATTACTTGTATTTGGGGGTTTTACATTTAAACCTATATGATATGGATGTAAATAATTTGACTTTTGCAAAACTCTAAAATACTTCAAATAGTATAATTTATGTTTTGTTTTAGCTTAGCCAGGCAAAATGCTTTCCATTTAAAACAAATTTCAGGGGACTGTATATCTGTATATTCGTTGAGAAACATCCATCATTTACACACAAGAACACAAGAAATAGGGAAGAAAATTTAGGGAAGAAGTGCAAAAAAATTTTTGACACAGAGGGTGGTGGGAGCTGGAATGCAGTGGCAGTGAAGGTAGTGGAAGCAGGCATGTTAGCAACATTTAAAGCGTACCTTGATAGGCACATGAATGGAAATTGAACAGAGGGATAGAAACTGCGCATGGGCAGTAAGCAGCAGGTCTAAATAAGGTCCAGGAATTAATGCAGTCTTGGTTCCTGTGCTGTATTGTAGTGTACTGTAAATGTTGGTATCAGGAGTCCTATGTCATCTGAAAAATGCATCTCAATAAGGACCATCTAGCCTTTGTAGTTAACTTTGTGTCATTCAGATATTAATGTAGAAAGGCTGCCAATTGGATGAGCAGATAAAAATACCGCTTTTTATTGCAGAGCCATCAATGGTGTGTCACACATTTGAAATTACACTATTCAATATTATATCCACTGAGGAGACGTCAAAAGTAATTATTTTCTCAGATAGCCAGGAAACTGCTGTTCATGTTCTGTCTATTTGAATTGTAGAATTGACAAAAAAAAATTCTGCCTAAATAAAGAGCTTCTTTAATCTGGAGTGTCAAAGCTTGCTTTTGAATTGTACAAGAGGTTTTGTTTTGCTGCTATCTCTAATTTCCGGCTTACAAACCTATTTCCATGTTGATTCAGGGAAAGGGGAGCCATTCAGTACTAATAAAATGTTTAGCAGAACTCAGTTCAACGAATCTGGATGGATCTACCAAGGTTTTGAATTATTGTTTTCTTTCAGAGCAGCTTAAATGTTAGTGACATTCTGTACTGTCAGTTATTCTCTATTCTCATTTGATTTTGCATAATTATACTCTTGTACATAACCCTAGCTATTAGCTTCAGCTTGAACAATATGATTTGACAACATGACATTTTTCCTCTCAGAATAGAGAGGAGAGCATGGGACAAGCTGCACAATTTCTAATGCAAATTGCAGAGTATATGGGTAATTGTTAACGCTGAAATCTCATTCATGTTGGACATAAAAAAGCAAGTTTCTTTTCACAGCAGACATTGGTCTACTTGTGGGAATTGCTAATTTGTCACAAACTCAAGTTAAAGTATCAGGAGAAAAGCCAAATTTCACTACATACGTTTTTAGAAAATGAGTTCGAATTATGTAGGTTGTTGATGTGTTATAATATAATTATTTTGTTTTTCTTCATCTGGCATATATGTGACTGTTCAATTGATATTTCAAAATTTGACACATCCGCTGATCAGCTAATGCTAAAGTTTTTAAAGTAGGTTTGATAATACAGAACACAAAATTTATGAGAAAAAGACATGCTGTCAAATCTGCCCAAGCATGTAGAAAATTGTTACATGTGATTCCTTGTTTAAACATCACTTACTGAATAATCCCAAGTGTGTTAAGAAAATGCACCATACATGAATTTAAAATTTTCAGTTAGGCTCACAGTGTGGGTCGCTTACACTTCTACAAGCTACATTCGTTTATTTAAATGGCCTTTTAATCTGCAAAGGGAAAGATGTATCTAAGCATTGCCACTTTTTCAATTTACTTTTCAAAGCTTGGAGACAACTATTTTCTGATGCGTTCCTCATTGCAATGTCAGATTCGACTTGCCTTTTTGGAATTTAAACAGAAGAATGCGGTTTAAATGTTACATCATGCATTCTTCACGGCAACACATCAAACAATCAAAGCTGATTTATCAACCAAACAATACCTCTTTTTTTCTCAAATGGTACAAATCATTGTTCACTTTGAAATTTGATACTACTGCATCTGTTTTGCTGAGTACAAGGTCAAAGGCTTCACAAACAAGTCTCTTTTTCTCCGTTGCTATCTTTTTAATTATATACCTCTCTCCCATTTCCACCTCTCTTTCTAAACAGTTCTAAAGAATTAATTTGCATTTTGTCACTTGAACAATGCTGACTCTGATCTCATCTAGACCGAGCAAAAAGTTTAACGCAGGTTATTTAACTCATTGCATCCATGCTTACTCTTTGCTAAAGACACTGAAAGCTAAAATCAAAACTCTTCCGTTTCAGCCCATAATCCTGTCCTCTGCTGCAAACATTTTCTTAAAAATACAGTGGTGTCTGTCTTACCTAAAGTTTGTGGTTATTCTTCTAATCTCCCTCGACGATAAATTTAAATTGATTATCATTTGCGGATGCTCCAACCAGAGGAAATTATCTTTATCTACACAAATTTTAGGATAGGCACAAATGGATGAAAACTTAATTACTTCTTCCAACCAGTTTTGGTTATCTGCTTTCAGTGTAAACTCTTAACCATTTACTATTGGAATGTCAATTTGAAAAGGGTTAGGTAATTATGAATTTAAATCCTCTTTTCTCATAAACATTTAAAACAAAATTTATTGTTCGTCTCTTAACACAGATCTTGGGGCCTGTCACTTTCTTTATATTCATGTTCATATTTATATATGTTGAAATTTTGGTGTTCTAAATAACAGACCTGTGTACCATAAATTTTCTGTGCAAGATTAGAGCCCAGATTATTTTGTCAGGTGTTTCTTCATTTTACTTTTATTTAAAAATAAAACCTTTACATTTGCATTATTTGGTTCTTTTACTGAAGTAGAAATATAATGAGGTAACCTTGTTTTATTGGAGACACTTGACATACCATTAGTTTGTTGCGATGTGCTCAGAACTTTAGTGATGCTTTATTCAGGAAATGTTAGATACAGGTTAAAAAAAGAACTTTATATCATGGCAAATCTCTGTCAGGCACATAGGAGTCAGAGTAGCCAATTCAATCCATCAAGCGTGTCAGGACATTCATTTCAATCTTGGCTGATCTAGCACTTCAATATCTCTTATACATCCCTTCTTCATAACCCAGTACACCACTGGTAATCAGAAATCTATCAACCTCTACCTTAAAGACTAAGCCTCCACAACTGTTTGATGCAGAAAAAGATTCACAACAATCTGAGTCAAATGAATTCTTCTAATCTCAGACCTAAGTGGGATCCCCCTTATTTTTAAATTGTGTTCCTTGGTTTCAAATCCCTCAACCAAGGAAATCCTCTAACCTACATCTACCCTGTCCATTCTTTGAAGCTTGAGAGAGCATTGATTCAGTTTGTCCAATCTCTCTTCACAGGATAGCCCCACCATTCCAGCATAAGTCTGCTGAACCTTTATTAAACTCTCTTTATGCAATATCTTATGAAATATCTAAATGAAAAATTGTATACACTATGCAGATGGAGTCTAAACAAGCTTCTCTATGAGTGAAGCAAGAATTTACTACTCCTCTACTCAAATTCTCTTGAAATAACGGCTAACATTCCACTATCCTTCCTAATAGCTTGCTCCACCTGCCTGTTAATCCTCGGTAATTTATCAGCAAGGACACCCAAGTCCCTTCGTACATCTATAGTTTCCAACCGCTTACTATTTAAGATATAATCTGCACATCTATTTCTCCTACCAAGTGAATAACCTCATTTTTCCACATTATATTCCATCTGTCATGTCTTTGACTATTTACTAAGCCTGACCCAATCCTGCTGAAGCTGGTATACATTCTCGTCACAGCACGCATTCCTAATTAGCTTTGTATAATCTGTGAATTTGCAAATAGTACATTCAGTACTCAGCTCCAAACCATTGATAAATATTGTGAACAGCTGGGGCTGAAGTATTGATCCTTGTGGGACTGCACTAATCACAGCCTGCCAATGTGAGAATGATCTATTTATGCCTATTCTGTGTTCTCTGCCTGTTAGCCAATCATTAATCCATGCCAGGACATTACCTCCTATCCCACATGGTTCAATCTTTCCAACTAGCATCCTGTGGGGACTTTATCAAAAGTAGTCAGAAACCCTAAGTATACGATTTCCTTTGGCTCTCCTTTATCGATTTTGTTACATCTTCAAAACACTCCAATGAGTTTGTTAAACATGATTTTACACTCACAAGTCCAAGCTCATGACGCCCAATCAAGATCATTATCAATCACGTGTCTATTTATCTCATTCTTTGTAACAGATTCTAGCATTTTCCCTGTACAGATGTCCTGCTAACAGGTCTGTAGTTCCCTGTAATAACAAGGTGTGGAGCTGGATGAACACAGCATGCCAAGCAGCATCAGAGGAGCAGGCAAGCTGATGTTTCGGGCCTAAACCCTTCAGTCACTTCTTAGATAATGGGATGATGTTTGCTGCCTTACAATTTGCAGGAATCTTTCTAGAATCTGTAGAATTTTGCAAGATACCAACTGTCTCTATAACTACATCCTGTTACACATGTGTTTTAAATCGTTGTTAAGTAATTGATGTTGATGTCCCTCAACTGTTTCTTACCACCATAAGGTAACTTTTTTCTTTTTTATTCTGTGCCTTCCAGTCAGGAGCCAAAGGTAAATTGGTGAGGAGTCTTGCCGTTTGTGAGGAGTCTAATCTGCCTCTACCAACAGAAGCGACTCCAGAGGATCAGGTATGGCTTCGATGACACTACAGCAAATTCAGCTCTCATTCTAATGCGTTTGTGCATAGAATTCTGTGTTGTTGGTTTTTACCCGTCTCACTTCACATCCAAGAGTGTTGTTTCTCTATATTTGTTATTCTTGTAATTTTCAAGTGAGTTTTTTTTACTTTTTCTTATCCCTTTCCTTGATCAATAATGTAGAATTATTTTCTTCAAATACTGATCACTATTACCCAAGGCCTCTCAGTTTTTCTTTGTAAGCAGTCTGTGCAAATTCTTGTTCAGCTCCTAGCTATTATGGAAAAAGGCTTCAGCGTCTGACTTGTATGAAAACAAAAGCAAATTGGGAACATATAATAAATCTACTTAAGGTAGCAGAGAGATCAAGGAGGAAGAGGCACTTAACTGCAATTTATATTATCTTCAAACTGACTGCAGAACAGTTATAGTCAACGAATGTTATCCTGGAGCAATGGTCAAATTGACATTTTGAGTTTAGGAAGGTTGAGAAGTGCAGCTTTGTTGTCACGGGCTGTGAAGGAGAGCAGTGAGACCATTGTCAGTATGCTTTACAACTGCTGTAGCTGAACAGCTCATTGGCAAACTGAAGCTGAAGTATTAGGTTGATTTTTGATCCTCAGAGGAGATGGAGCCAGGCTCTGAGCAGGGCGCAAAACCAGAAAAAGGTATGGTGCATGAACTCTCCAGAGCAACCCCATGCCCCATTGATCTGTGAACAGATATCAGGGCTTACATTGCTTGTAAATTCACTAATCACATTTTTTGGATCATCCTTCTCCTGTGTTTCTTTTTCTGTCCTTTTAATTACTGTGGCAGGAGAGGTTTGTGTAAATATTTCATTTCTACTATCTGTTACAGAGCTGGTTAACAGCTGCATTTTAAATTGCTGCAGTTTGATTCCATAACAAGTTGTGATACTCAGTAAGGTGTGCTAGACAGAATATACGTGACAAATAAAATTCAGTGCCTGTTCTTCTCTGGGCACTTCTTCTCCATTGCAAATTCAGCAAGCTCCACTGAAAGATTAAAACAAAGAACTGTGGATGCTTGAGATCTGAAACAAAACCAGAAATTGCTGGAGAAACTCAGCAGGTGTGTGGAGAAAACAGAGTTAACGTTTCAAGGCCGATGACTCTTCATCAGAAATGCCAAACCTTAGCCATGTCCAACCAGTTCTGGCGGAGAGACTCCAGCCTCAAAACATTAACCCTGTTTTTCTCCCCAGAGATGCTGCCAGACCTGCTGAGTTTCTTCAACAATTTTTGTTTATGTTCCACTGAAAGACTGATCTAGAGTTATTTCTATTTAGCTTTGAGGTTTGGACATAATGGGACGGTCTGATGTGAAAAGCCAAGCACCCTTCAAAAGCAGCCTCAATCAACAGCTATCCTACATCACAGAATTAATCTCTATTGTTCTCCCGTCTAAATTGCCAACACATGGACTGGGGTTGTGTATGTTTATCATAGTCTGTAGTTTAGTGGATTGAAGATTTTCTCAAAGAGCTAAAGAGAAAAGTAGGAAAGAGCCAGAGATCTGAATAGAAAATGGACTTCCTAATGGAACATATTTTACCCTGGTATATGCTCTCTGAAATTCAATCCCTTTTGAAAAGGTAGAAATCAAAGGGGAAAGTATATAGTTATAAATGACATGAACTGAACAATTCTATAATTTCTCAGTATTTTATTTTTCTAATGTGTGAATCTTATTTACTGACTGTCCTAGAAATAAGGAATGGTTAAAGTCATGAAAATTAGTCAACAAACAGAGATTTTGGAAAGCAATGTGGCTAAGGTTTGGCAACACATTAAGTTGTAACTGCTAGAAGTCCAATGGGTCAATATCATATTGATGTGGAGAAGCAGCGGATAGTCTCACTCACCAAAATTAAGGATTTCAACAGCATGAAAGGTTTTGGTCCTTGGGTTTCAAATTGAATTCCTAGATGCATTCCAAAGATGAGAATTGGGAGTGTGGCAACAATGCCCAACTTTTCTCTTAAAATCCATAGAGGAAGCCAAAGGGAGATCATTTTTATTGTAGATTTCACTTACTTTACATGAAAATTGGGAAGCCACCATAGCTCAAAAGTTGAATTCATAGGTTGTTCCTGTTGAGAAACTCTTTTGGAATGAGACATCACTGGTTGATATTGACAGAACAGCCATTCATACCGAAAGCAACAATACCAGTGACGATTCTGTCTTGACCTCTTGAGGATGAAGAAAAACAGTGATGAATTTACCATTCCAATAGGATGGTTAACCTTAGGAGATGGCATTTATACATGGGAACTACAGCAAGTTGCAGTTCAAAGTGCCAAATTGTAGCCCAATTGCTTTCCAATATTTCCATTTGTTGGCTGACTTTGCTAAAATTATATGTATATTCTCGAACATGCCTCATTTCCAGAACAGTTAGTAAATGAGAAAACCAAAAATCCAGGAGAAAGTATGATTGTAAGTTCATATCACTTGCAATTGTACACATTTTTCCCTCTGATTTCTTTTTCTTTCATAGCAACATGAAAAGAACTGGAGTATTAGAGATCTTATCTTAGCAACTTAATTGTAAAGGCAGATGTTTAGTGTATTTTAATGACAAATAGAGGGGATCAGTTAAGGAACCAAAATGAAATGCACTTTATATTTTATACACACATTAGTGGAAGAATTAATCCTTTTTCTTATTACTGAATTATATCTTTTTGATAAATTTTTACTTACTTTTGAACATTTAAAAATAATTAGTTGTATTTACTACAGAACTTGAGTTTTGCTGAAAGAAACACTTTTTATCAAAACTTGTTGTCTTGTACTCATCTGGACAATTTGCAAGAATACCAATTCAAAAACAAAACAAGCATTTTAGCTATATAAGAGGAAAAAGCTGATTGGTTCGCATGTTGACTCTGATAGTTAGAGCCATTGTTGTGAACAATGCACCAGTTAATAATGATTGGTAGTTTACTGCCCCTTGGCTTTTTTCAGCAATATAGAAATAATTAATGAGAAACTATTGGGAAATCTTGGGAAACTGAAAATGCAGAGCTCCAGCCATTAATATTTTGTAAGCTAAAGCTCTCTGTGCTGTGGTTTTATCCTTTTGTATGGTTTCTTGTAATCATGTTACAAATCAGATTCCTCATTAATTACTCTACTTTCTTTTTAAAAAAATGTGAGAAATATTGATGCATTCCATTTGTGTATCCGTAAGTTGTGATACTGTTTTGTAATATAAATTGTTGTATTCGGCTAGAACTTATCTTTGGATTCATCTGATCAATTTGTTTTGGTTACTTATCAAAACTGGGAAACTGCAGTAATTGTGTCTGTGAAGTTATCATTTCATTGACATTCAATGTTTTAGTTTCACCTTTAGTGAAAGACAGGCACTGTATAAATGGTGACATCTTAGAGGCTGGAGGAATGTTTGTTCGATAGTTGAAATGCTCTCAGGTTTTCAAGTTTGACAATTGGCTTTCTCTTGAGAGATGTTGTATTGTTGCTGAAGGACATGAGAATGAGGATGACATTATTTGCTTTTAAAGAATGGGATCTTAAAAATTGCTGATCCTTTGTTATTATCAACAAAAATAAAACAAACAATATTGTAAACAATCCTACATCAGTGTTCAAAGTCATCTTCAACACAATTCCATTCTTCCTTCTGTAAAATCTTTGATCCAATCCTGGTAGGAGAATTCAGACTCAACCCATAACTGACTTGCTTCAAGGGATGGGTCACCTTACTTAACAGCACATCTCCATTCCTATAACTCTATGCTCAGTTCTTCCCAAGCCTATTTATGGGCTTTTTCATGTTATGGAAAATGAGTTTTACCATTTTTATGACCAGAAAATTAGATCCAAAAAACTTTTCACCAACTATCCATTTTCTCAGCATAGCATCCAAACAATTCTCTTTGCAATTGCAGCCTCTTGAATATTTTAATCACTCACTTTTTCCTACCCCACCTCCAAACACACACACACATGTTGCTCTTTTTTTAATTCTATAATTTTATCATAAGTTAAATGAGAGTTCTCCAGGTTCACATTCTCCCTTGGCTATGACTACCCAAAGATATAGTGGCCCAGGAAAATTATGAGTTTCTTCACCGCTGATGAATTGAACCAAACCTTTGTGTTGAGCCTTAGATTTTGAAAATGGTCATCACACCTACTTTGGATTGAGTTACTTTCCAATTGTGAAAGTTTTTGAGGTAATGTGGCAAAAATGGCAATTAGTTCTGAACCATGATGCCAACATTTATATCAGTTTTGAGTGCCACTTATCCTTGTTTTGTGTACATTCAGTAATATAATCCACGAAGGATCTTCAGTTGAATTGACCTTACACAATTATACAATCTTTTACATCAATACTTGGGGACTAAAAATGTATTTAGCTACATTTTACATCGAATTACATCTGCCCTGGAATGGTTCTGCCAAATTTGCACTGTTTCCTGCTGAATATCTTTTGAACTTTAGCTGAATATCTTTTGAACTTTAGCTGAATATCTGTTGAACGTTACCAAATGGGTCGACACAAGTTTCTGCAATCAAGATAAGTCTCTCTCAGTTGTAACAGCTTGCAGCCTTGTTTGTAAGGATCTGCTGAATGCAGCCTATTGGAGTGCTTTGAGAAGACTTTTTAAACGATCATTTCATATTATTTAAAAAGAGTGTGTAAAAACCTGTTTCAGGTTGGGACCATGCAGATGGCCTAAAGGCCCTCCGCTTCTTCCTGTCCCGCAGGCCCGACCAGTCCCCCTCCACTGACACCCTCATCCACTTAGCCGAACTCGTCCTCACCCTCAACAACTTCTCTTTCAATTCCTCCCACTTCCTACAGACAAAGGGGGTGGCCATGGGTACCCGCATGGGACCAAGCTACGCCTGCCTCTTTGTAGGTTACATGGAACAACCCCTCTTCCGTACCTACACCGGCCCTAAACCCCACCTCTTCCTCCGTTACAT